ATTACTTAATCATTCACTATGTTATATATTATTAATATATTAATATTCTTATAAATTATATAGATTAGAGGCATGTATATATGTATGTGTAACATGTATATGTATTATACGTATAGATAAATTAAAATTATACATATATAAATGATCTATATAAATAATTAACACATATTTAAAAATCCCACTATCAATATTTTAGTATGCCTTCAAAGAATTTACTTTCCTATTCCTTTATTTTCAACCTTCTTGCAATCAAATTGCGTATGTAATCATACATCATATTTTATCTTAATTTTTATAATAAGTATTTTTAGTACTTCAATGGCTACATAATATAATTGTAATAAAATATGATATATTGCATCATATAGAGTTACTATAATTTAACCATTTTTCTTTTTTTTTTTGAGGAAGATTAGCCCTGAGCTAAATGCTGCCAATCTTCCTGTTTTTGCTGAGGAGGACTGGCCCTGAGCTAACATCCGTGTCCATCCTCCTCCACTTTATACGTGGGACACCTACCACAGCATGGTGGCCCGCCAAGTGGTGTCATGTTTGCACCCTGGATCCGAACCGGCGAACCCTGGGCCACCAAAGTGGAACGTGTGCACTCAACCACTACACCACCAGGCCAGCCCCTAACCATTTTTCTATTGTTGGACATGCTGGCTTCTTCCTTGATTCTGCATGACAAATAATGGTGAGATGAATAGTATCATGCATATAGCTTGTGGCATATTTTAGATTATTTCTTTAGGTTGGATTCTCAGACCTGGGATTAATAGAACAAAAGGTATTTGTGTGGGGAAGGGGAGTGGGCAAGAAGGTGTACGTGAGGCTACTCACATGTAGTTTTCAACGTTACTAACACTGTATAAGAACTACAATTCCAGTACAGCTCTATCAGCAATGGAAATTACTGTGAAATATTTTTTTCACTGTAGTATGTGAAAAAATGATTCATTACGTTAGTTTATATTTGTTTCAATTATTTAAAGGTTGAATAACTTTCTTTTTTAATAGCTGTATTTTTTAATGAATTGTTTATTCATCCTTTGCTGATTTATGAGAATATGTTTTTCTTATTAATTTTTATATATATTTTTAAAGATTTTATTTTTCCTTTTCCTCCCAAAGTCCCCCAGTACATAGTTGTTATTTTCAGTTGTGGGTCCTTCTAGCTGTGGCATGTGGGATGCCGCCTCAGCGTGGCTTGATGAGCGGTGCCATGTCCGCACCCAGGATTGAACTGGCAAAACCCTGGGCTGCTGAAGCAGAGCGCGAGACCTTAACCACTCAGCCATGGGGCCGGCCCTATATATTTTTAATTTAATAAAGAAATCCTATCTGCTGAAAATACTTTTCCAGTCTCTAGTTGTGACTTTTTACTTTATCAATTTTGTAATTTTCTTTGAGATATATTTTATCACTTTCAAGTTAGAAAAGGTATCTCCCTTCCAGAATTTTGATAAATATTTGATTACTTTTTTTGTTTTGATTTCTTTTTAATATCTAACACTTCTTCTGTGTGGAATTTGTTTTGCTATATAACAGTAGAGAAAATTACTTCCCTCAAATTGCTGTCTAGTCATTCCAATATTCATAGAATAATCCTTTCTTCCTTTATTGATTTGGAAAGCTCTCCCCATCATGTATTAATGTCTTCATTCTAATGTTGCCCATTTATGGGGTATTTGTTTCCATACATAGATCTAGTTATCTATCCTAATGTTAGTACAGAGGTCTGCTTTCAAACTTTAAGTTTGCTATTTCTGATAGATGATGGCAACTTCTAGGAAGTTAGGAGCTTCATTCTTATAAAATTCTAATTTTTTCTGTACTAAGTTATTTCAGAATTACATCCAGAGTCTCCCTAGGAGTTAAAAGTGGCACTGTCCTTTCCAGTTTCCAAACTGTCCTGCTCAGTGATTATCTGCTAAAGGAAATGATCCTCTCATGCCCCCTCCCTCCTTATTTCTCAACTGGATAACTCTTTATTGTTTGGAGCTCAAAGCATAATTGCCTGAAAGCATGCTGACCAATCATAAGGATGCGTCATCTCTATTAGATCCAGGAAAGACAACCTTCGTAATTCATTTTTGACTCAACAGTTTAACTTCTGAGTGGAGGAAACTTTTTTTTTAACCTAAGCAAACTGAATTTGAAGACATGTTGAAAAAGGGAAGGGAAAATCTTACCCTGTTTCACTGGCTAAGTCCTAATTCCTCAGATCTCATCTCCAATGTCATTTCCTCAGAAGTAACTGACTCACGTGTTGTACAGTGCACGTTTCCTTCAGAGCACCCACCACAGTTTGTAATGTGGTCTTTCTCTGTTTTATGACTTAATGTCTATTTACTCTACTACCAACAATAATAATAGCCAACATTTATTGAGTGCTTACTCTGAATGTGCATGAAATGTGTAGGAAACTTTCTGTATGGATCTTCTCACTTAATTCTTATAGCACCTCTGAAGTAGGTACTAAAATTATTCCTACGTAGGGACTATTATTATTATTGCCACTTTTCAAGTGAGCAAGCTGAGCCACAGAGAGATTAATGAACATCCCTTGAGGTCACATCGCTAGTGTGGCTGACCAGGCTTTGAATCCGGGTAGCCTGATTCCAGATGCCACATCTTTACCTTTAGACCAGTGCTGTCCAATGGAACATTCTGTGATGATAGAAATGTTCTCTATATGTGCTGTCTGATATGACAGCCACTAGCCACATCTGGTTATTGAACAGTTGAAGTATGGCTAGTGTGAATGAGGAACTGAATTTTTAAATTTTATTTAATGTTAATTAATTTAAATAGCCACATGTGGCTACTGACTACCCTATTGGATAGCATAGCTCTAGACAATAAGCTGCTAGGCAGCAATTTCCAGGAATGATTGTGTCTGTTTTTGCTTATCATTATACCCCTGGTACTAGCACCACACCCCACACAATTAGTATTTATTGACCCAAACGAATAATTCAGAGTGGGTAGGATAGGGAGAGAATAAGCAAAAACGGTGCTCGGAAAGCACCCAATTCTGAAAAGTGCTCACCTCCAGTGCAATATCTGGAGCTTGTTTTGCATAAATTTTATTTTTAAAATAACACAAAATAAACATGATAAAAATGAGTATTTGAGATAAATTTGGTAAAATTGAGCATATTCTTATAACTCGCATTTAATAAGAAGGGAAAAGTAAACAATATCAAACAGCAACTTCTGAGAATCAGCACTTATCTGACAAGAAATGAATTTAATGCCAAAATACACTTTTGGAATACATTCCTACCACGAGTCAAAACATCTTAGTAGTTATTTATGAGGCAGTGAATGACAAGCTCATTCAAGCTCTTTACCCCAGAAAATACGCTAATGTTTTCTATCTATTACTGAATGCATTTTTCTTATTGGAAATATCTGAGGCATATTTGGTGTTTTTTTTCATTCTATCACCTGGTATATATTTTTGTTGTCACTGCACAGTGCAATAATCTAACAGATTTAGCAGGGTACGGGGATTCAATTCTATCTGGTAATTAAATGTCAGAGAGTATTTCCCTGCTGGTCATTAATGCTGAAGTGTCTAGATACGCACTGCTAAGTGTACTCACATTAAACATATATTACAGGAACACTGCATATACATTAGCACTAGTAGTAACTTTCAAATTTGCTAATGCGCTTTTGGAAAACAGCATTACATGTTCACTCAAAAAGCTCTGCTTGATTGACAAATTGCATTGATTCAAAGAGCTAGACATTGTGGCTTGAAATAGATAATAACAGTATCTCAAAGCTTAAAGCATTTTATATTTCTTTTTCCTGTTACCTCAAGGTACTCTACTAAGAATTTGTACTAAGTGAATCTGAATTAAATTGCTCTATTGGAAAAATTTTTTAAAATGGAAATGTTCACTTAACCAGAGCAGTTATGGATACCTGGCCATATTATGCTGGGAAAAATATGACATTTTTGTTTTCCTGTTGCTGTTGTTAAACCTTCCAGGTTATTTACCTATTTTTAGTGTTGATTCCCAAATTATGGCTATGAAGTATAATGATCACTAAATCAAATATTTGTAGGAACAACAATCAAAGTAGGACGGGTTCGACTTTGTCACTATCTATGACGCTATATACTCTGACTATATTATTTTGTTCTCATTGAAGTAAAGGCACAATGCTCTATTTTCCTACAAGAAGAAAAATCATTATAAATATTTTTCTCCAACTGTAGGAATAAAATATGGTAAATAACAGATCTGAAATTTTTCAATTCAATGTAACTGACTGTAACTAACCAAGAAATATGCCGATTTTCACCGTACTGATTTTCACTTTGGAAAACGTAATACAGTTAATTCATCAATATATCTTACGGACCTCATAAAAGAACTAGATAAAAATCAATAAAATAATATTGTCTTCTATCATGAAAGAAAAAACATGAAATTTGGTGTTGTAGTTCTTTCTAAAAGTGTGTCCAATTAGACACTTTTGGGCAATTTCAGTAGGTCCTTTCTGTTGTGGTAATATAAATAACAGATCATTCTGGTTTCTGACCACGCACTTCCTTCTCCCTGAATATGCATCAGAGGATGAACATGACAGTCAGTTTTGGCACTTGTAAAGCTGAGTGGCACTCCTCCCACCTCTGTTTGAGTTATAAATAGGAAAAGAAAATGCTTCCCATTGGCCAGATTCAGCACATTAATATCTGTGAGCTCCGACCAAGTGCTCCCCACTAGAATTTAATGGGCTTTACCTTGCACTGGCAGAGAGTACACTCAGTGCCGTGTTTGATCCAAGAGGACCCAGTGAAGCGAACCACATTCATCTCGTCCAGGCAAGTTTTGGTGATGTCATTGCGGATGGTGTCGGCCTGGCAAGGGTCAGTGACACAGCGCGGGCAGCACTCGTTCTCTGGGAGGACACTGAATTCACACTCCACCTCTGGACATGGCAGGGGCCAACAGTCAACTTCCCCTTGCTGTAAGGAAAGCAGATGTGCAAGGGCAGAGGGAGAGGCAGGGAGGGCGTGGAGGATGGCAGGGTGGGTGGGAGCACAGTGTTTTCTGAATACTCAATTTATTGGATGGAGATTTTATTCAGACCTTCAAAGCGATGAATCTTGCAGAGAATCTACAAAAACTGTATCAGAGTGATGGGGTCTATACTGCAGGGGGCACGATTTAGAGGGCATTCTCACTGGGGTGCGGATACTTGCATGTGTAATTTTATTAATAACTAATAAAAAGGCTAGGACCAAGCCTATGTGTTTATGGAGCAGACATACTCATCTAGGCATTTTCAGTGCCTTGCTTTATGTTATTAAGCTACATTAACGGGGGAAGGAGGGTTGGCAAATTTAGAAAATCAGATCTAGGGGGATGCCTGTCTATGGAAATTTTATTGATTAAAGTAGCATGTTGGTATTAATGGCGGGGGGGGGAAGTTCTGTTGGGCTTGTTAGGTGTGTTGAGTTAATACGGTTAATGTGCGAGAGTTAAGCTTCATAAAGTGTTGTGCATTTTTAGTCTTGTTTTTGGGGTTTGGCAAGATTGTGTTGAATGTACATATGTGGAGTTTAATGGGGGGTAGGGGGGGTTTGATTAAGAAAATTACTTACTTGCTTAGTGCGTGGGTGCAGGTGCGTGCACAGGTGCGTGCACAGGTGACACAGGAACAATAAACAAAAGCACAAACTGTTTCTCTTTAAAAAATCAAATTTGCATGCCCTTATCTTTCTCATGACAAAGGAGAATTATTTTCTATGGAAGAGGTTTTTATCTAACTTTTTTGCCTGAGATGCTGTTTTCATTCTTTTGATCTTTTTCCCTATCGTCTTATCTATTCCCTTCTGCATAAAGAAAGTTTTGTCCACTTACAAGAAAATAAACTGAAATATAAAGGGAATTTGACAATTTTTCTCTGTTCATTTATATGTTCCTCAGTGTAGGGACTTTGGGAAAAAAACCCAAAACAACTAGGAACTGATTTCAGTCTTTTTTATTCCACGTGGGAAAATCCTGAGAATTGGATCTTTTTAAAGTTTAGCTCCCACCTGTTTCCTATTTTCTTCATAATTCTGAATCTCATGGTCTTGGAAATGAAAGCAGCCTTCAGGCACAGGAACTGACCTTGCTCTTTCAATTGATTTTTGGGTTGAAAGTATAAAAAGGAGCAACAAAAAAGCATTGCCTTAAAAATGTCCTCACAAATAGAAACGAAACTAGCTATAACTTCAAAAGTAGCATCTGTGAAACTTTCTTCTAGAAAGACACACAGACCAATTTTCCATTTCATTTATACCACTAGAAAGAATCAAGAAATTTGGTCAAGTGAAAAAAAGACTGATGTTTTCTTTATCAAGTCTTTATTTTCTTTTCTACCTACCGTTTCCAGTAAGAGTTTCATAAATATATAGAGACGTTCAATTCTAACATTCTAAGTATTTATTGCATATCCATATTCTATGTAAAACAAGGTGCCCATCAGAACAGCACTGACAGTAATACTCTTGTTTTTTTTGAGGAAGATTAGCCCTGAGCTAACTACTGCCAGTCCTCCTCTTTTTGCTGAGCAAGACTGGCCCTGAGCTAACATACGTGCCCATCTTCCTCTACTTTCTATGTGGGACGCCTACCACAGCATGGTGTGCCAAGCGGTGCTGTGTCTGCACCCGGCATCTGAACTGGTGAACCCCCGGCCACCAAAAAGGGGAACGTGCAAACTTAACCACTGCGCCACCGGGCCGACCCTGACAGTAATAATCTTTAGAAGGAAAAAATGTGTGTATTTTTAAGCCTAAACATGATTGATAGAAATGGATTAACAAAAGTTCTACTTGGAAAAAAGATGATTCTTTTCATGAATGCCATTGTTCTTTCATAATTGTCTCTACCTAAACCTAAGCTGAATGGGATTGGGGAAGCTAGGAGAGTCTTGTCTTCTTTTGAGCTCTGGAGATCCTGCCAAAAGACATACACAACATGGTGCACCACATCCACCCCAGGAAATACCTCCTCGGCTCCTGACTGCATGTCCATCATCTTTGTCATCCTAACCAGGCTCACTTTTTGAAACTGCCAACACTATGGCCAGGTTTGAACACAGGCAGACGTGGGAGGGCAAGGTCACTTTCCTATTTAGATTCTGGGCCTAAACTTCTCCTGTATTTCATGTAACTAAACTTACCAAGCAGCGGCACTGTTGGCAGTTCTGGACCCAGGTGTCACCACTATTGTACAAGGTTTCCCCATTGTGATGGAGGCACTGACTGCTAAGCCTTGGGTCACATTCAGGGCAACAAAAAAGATCAACTGTGGGATTCTCACAGTCACAGACCATCCGTCGACACATTACAAATCCATTCTGTGTGAGAAGGAAAAAAAGCAGTTACCAAAAGCCTCCATTTCTCAATAGAATAACATCGTGTGTGTGTGTGTGTGTGTGTGTGTGTGTGTGTGTGTGTTTGTGTGTACACACATACACCTATCTCTCAGATGTTGATTTGAGAGTTGAGATAATTCACACACTTACCAATTCATCGATTTTCTTTGAAGTTCCATTTTGTAGCTAACACACAGAAATTACCCAAGCTGAAGAACTTCCAATTTCCTTTCCACACACTACTTGACCAGAAAGAAATTTTCCAGAAATGATTTGTATGAAATGATAAACACTACATGGTCCTTCCGTGTACATAAATGTGTATATGTATATATAAATATATATGTACTTCTTTATTAGTATAGTAATTTTCATATTAACTAAATTTAGGGTTTTGTGAGGGCACGTGTGTTTATATTTGGTAGCTAGTGAAGAAGTTTTATGTAGTCTTAAGTTTATGGACTATTTTAGACCTTATGTTATACAAACTGTTATCAGTTTCTTTCATAATAGTTGACCCCTTGCTACATAGTATTATTTATTTAACTATAATTTAAGTCTCTATTATCAACTGGGTATATATTACAGAACATCTCTCTAAAACAGAGATATAGACCAAATAAACACTTTTCACTCATAGGCCATAGCATGTCCATTCTGGCTTCATTTATGCATTCATTCAAATATGACGTTGTGACTATGGAAACATTCTCATAGGTAGCAACAAAATTTTATTAACAAGTGAATAGATAAACACATTGTGGTATTTCCATACATTGTAATACTACCCAGGAATGAAAAGGAACGGGTTACTGATATGTGTAATGAATGTAAATGAATGTCAAAACCTAATACTGAGAGAAAGAAGCCAGACACAAAAGAATATGTACTATATGATTCCATTTACACAAGGTTCTAGAAAATATAAATCTAATCTATAGTGACCAGAAGCAGTGTTTGCTTGGGCCTGGGTGTATGTTACTAAGAAAGGAGAGAGGCAACATTTTGGGTAGATAAAAATGTTCTGTTATATCAATTGTGATGATGGATAAATGGATGTGTGCATCTGTCTAAGTTCACCAAGCTGTACACTTGAAATACATGAAAATTACACCTCAATAACAATGATTAAAATTTTTTATTTATACCAACCTGACAGGAGCACACAGAGCACCGGTCATTTTCCAACACCCAAATCTGCCCGTTGTGCTTAATTTTTCCATCGTGGATGCAGTCCCCTGTGCAGTTCTTTCCATGAGGACATCGGCAATCATATCCACCATCCAAGTTAAAGCAAATGGTGTCATTGGCACAGCTGTGCCTCCCGGTCCCACACTCATCGATATCTACAGCCAAGAAAAGGCAGCAGGCGATGCGCTCAGAATATGCTCAGTTTCAAACAACTGCAATCAGGCAAGTTGTCTCCTGACATAAAGCATTCAACTGTAAATTAATTTTCATCTTACTGGCAAGCATATCCTATTAAATGCTGACTCAAGCAATGCTAATGATCTAAGGATTTCACAGGAAAATATTATCATGCTGGATTTCAAACACCAGATAACTTTGGCTATATTTTCAACTTTTATATCTCTGTAAATACCTTTAGGCTTTGTGAAACACTTATTTTTTTGAAAGTAGAAACAGGACTCAATTTCTCAAACAAAAACAGTTTGGCAGTGGAAATTCTAAAAGTGCCCATGATTTTTTATTGGAGAATCATCCTCGATGTTAAATGGTGCTTAGAGAAAATCCTTTCTTAGTGGGAGATGAAATGTCATGGAATCCCTGAGGCATTGTATCCCATTTCCAAGGCCTCTTCTCACAGCCATGTCACCACATGTAAGCTCCTTCCAGTCTTCTGCCCAGGTGTTCTTTCTTTACTGTCCTTATACCCTGCCCCTCACCCACGGAAGGGCAAGTGACCACCAGCAATAACCATTTCTCTCGCAAAGAATTCCCCACTTCTTAACTTCTCCATCTCAGAATATCGTTTTGTCTCCTGCCTGATTCAGCTGACAAATGTCCATTCATCACCCGACCTCACCTACTCCATGGCAATCACAGCCTAAAGCATTTTCATACAGATGAAAAGCAAACATATCTTGACCCACGGATCAGGTCCATAAGAAGATATGGGATTCATTTTATTTATCCCTATAATTTAAAGGTCACAAGCCAAAATATATTTCAGGGATATTGTATGAGTGGCAGTAAGTTATCTCCCATTTCATCTGTTTCCTCTGAGTAAAGGTCATGAAGGAAAGAATTAAATCACAGCAAGAAACGTGGGTTAGAGAGAAGAGGGGCTGTACAGCTTTTAACTAAGGGAACTACACACTGATTTCCCTTGAAAAGTTTAAAGGCAGAGTTTAGTAAGCATCTTTCTTAAATGGTTTGATTTCAGCATTACTGGAGACATGGACTAGTAAAGACATATTTTAGCCGTATTTCAACTCTTAAATACTTAAGTTTTGTCACATATGTATTCCTGAAAATAAGCCACATGATACATTTCTATTTACCTTGATTTTTATTAGTTCCCATCTCAACAAAACCAATGAATTGAGACAACAGCTGACAAGATTTTTACTACAACTACAGTGAACTTTATTATGGCTTCGTTTGTCAAGGATGATACTATTTATAATTATAGACTATGATCAAAAGGAGAACTGTTAGCCAGCACATATATTTTATAATTTTTTAAAAGTACATTGGTTAATATATTTTTTTTCAGATCAGGGAAAATTGTCTCTTGGTAACAGAAATGAAATTTTATAACGTGGCTCTATATTTGGTTTATTCAGAATAATAAGGTATATTTGATGAGTTGATCTTTGTCTCCCATTAAATATTCTTACAGTTAGGAATAACAGCAAGTTGGAAAACCATTAACCATAGTTATTTGGTCTCTTTGACCACAAACTCTATAAATACCTCTTACTACATAACCCTTTAAATATCCTCTATAAAGACATTATTCCACTAATGGCAATGGCTGGACTTTTACAATTATTTCATTTTGCCTGACATTTAAAATAAAAGCTCTGCTATCAGGTAATGCATTTTTTTTTTTTCTTAAAGGCAGAGAGAGTCCTTGGATTTGCTGCAGAAGACAAAGAAGAGATGTCCTGGCACAATAAGAATATGTGCTCTTAAGTAAAGTACACTCACAATAAAGAAACAGAATAAAAATTTGTTCACAACAATGACTGCCATGCACTTGTTATCCTTGGAGAAACATGTGGGCAGAAACATCATAATGAACTAAGTATTAGCTTTTACTATTCAATGCGATTTGAAATAATTTGAACTCCTCTTGCCTTTTTTCTTGTTATCTATACTGGGTTTCCCAATGCAGAGACTATTCTCAATTGGATGGTAGTATAGAACTTTGCAAATCATTTACATGTATAGTTTTATTATAATGCAAATTTCCTAAATTAAATATACATGAAGGATGCATATTCTAATTTGAAAATTTTACTATGGTCTATAAAAATTCCGACTTTAAAAATACTGATGACTTCTTTAGTGAGCAATTAAAGAAATGTTGGTAAATCCAATGGTCAAGTCTCAGTTCTCATCCAATTTGACCTAACAGCAGCATTTGACATAGTTCATTCTCTTTCCCTGATAAATTTTCTTTACTTTCTTTCTATCACATCGGTAGCCCTTTCTGGATCTTTCTCCAAGTGTGGCAATTAATCTATGAATAAAATTTAGCCAAGCAAAGAGATGGTAAAGAGTGTTCTAGTCAGAGGCACAAGTGTGTTTGAAGGCCCAAAGTTTAGAGCTGTCAAGATGTGTTTGATGAAGAGAAATGTTGACTTGAATGTTCAAGGAGAGCAGAGTAGGCAGATATGTAGCTGAAAAGGTACTCAGGCACACGTAAAAGTCATGTTAAGAAATCTGAACTTTACCATAAAAAGTCATTTTAGGAAATTGCAGAAAAAAAATCACAATCAGATATCCATTTTAGAAAGATTCCTTTGGCTTCATTTTGGAAAAGGGATCTGAGTGGATTAGAACTTGAAGCCAGGAGATCAATTAATAGGCTGTTTCAGTAGCCCAGGGAAGAGATGGTCATATAATAATAGCAAACACTTATATAGTGGTTGGTATGTGCCAGATTCTAAGTACTTTCACATAATGACTCATTTAATCCTCACAACAACTGCAGAAGGTAAATGATAATTCCCTTTGTGTGGATCAGGAAATTGAGGCATAGAAATGTTGCATAACTTTCTCAAGGTCACAGAGCCAGTAAGGTTTAGAGCGCAGATAGGAACCCAAGCAGTCAGACTCCAAGTCTGTGTTCTTAAGCAGCGGGGATGCATAGAGAGAAACAATGAAGATAGAATCTTCCAAGATAGAAACAATGAAGATACAGCAACTTAGTGATTTGTCGGCTTCGAAGATTAGGGAGAAGGAGGGGTTATGAACAATGTTCAGACCTCTGGCTTGGAAAATTTGGCTGATGATATTCACAGAAAAAAGTGCAAGATTTTGCTGGGGAATGAAAGTGGCTGGCAGGGATGAGGAAAACATGAGTTAGTTTAGGACATGATGAATTACACTTTCCTCTGGGATTTCAAGTAGAGCTGTCCAGTAAGTAGTTGGATATATGGGTCTGGAGTTCAGAATATAGGACAAGCTGAAATATGGATTTGTTGAAGATATACTTTCATCACTTCCTTTCTAAAAAACAGTTGTTCAGACTCAGTTCAAACTTCTTAGTAAGGCATTTAAGGCCACTTCTGTTGCTTGCACTCTCTTTCCCTATCTCAATTTGCCAATAATCACATCATACTTGAAGTCCTAAAACAAATGCTAGATACTCAAGCCTTTCTTGTTGCTAAACAGGAAATAGTTTCTCTCTTTGTTTCCTTACAGCTCTGAATTTACATTTTCCTCAAGTATTTATCATTTTCAACCTCATGGTTTTCTCCTCTATTAAGAAACTTATCACATTCTACTTTGTGTGACAGTTGTTGCTGTACATATTTTCTCTCTTCTACAAGCCAAGAGCAGTGACCACATCTCCTGTATATTTGTATGTTGCAGACGCCTGGCAAGTATCTCAAGGTACTTGTGCATCTTTTCAGTAACTACTTGTTGAGTTGATTTGTATTCATTTCATTTTTGTCCTTTTTCTTGATTTAGGTTAAGCATTTATAGTATTTGGCTTGAACATAACATTCAAAAGATGCTATCTTGTAAACATTATTATTTTGGTCTCACAAGTTCAAAAAAACCTCACCAAGCCTAATGATAATCCAAAAATTAAAGCAATAAAGAAAAATATTGGCATGGAAATGAAATATTCTTGTGTGAAAAAAATACTAGGCTTTATTCTTAGAGAGAGACAAATTTGGGGGCACAGCAGAAATGATGAAATGGACAAGGAAAATGGTACTCTGGCACATTACCTGGAGATTAGATGTCTACACCTCTGAGATAAATGGATGAGCAAAACAGCACATAATTTGTATGAATGCAGCTTATAAACATGTATGTTGCAGATTGCACAACTGCAGCCTAAAAAGTAGTGAAACTGCACAGTTATTTATTCCTGCCTTCAAGTAGGAATCTTACACTTCAGAGCAATTGCAAATCCACTGCTGTGGCTTTGTCCACTTTGAAATGATTTTTTTTCAGCAACAGGAAAATGGCACCTGTTCGGATACAATCACACTGTTAAACCTGCATCCTTCTAAATACTAATATTACAATTCTATAAATCACTGAAATTGCAGCAAATGGATAGGTGTTTAGAAGGAGCATTTTAGTCTTTTTTTTATAACATAGGTGCGTTTTTTAAAAGAATCCTTCACAGCACATTGTCTCCTGAAAGAGTAGTAGATTTTTCTGATAATCATTATAAATTGTATTGGAAGACAATAGTAAAATCACCTTTCCAGAATTGTGGTTTTTTAAAAAATAAGATTTTTCACTGTTTCTGTGTTTATGGAATTTCCTTGAAAAGCCTTTTCTGCATAAGCATCTCATAGAATCCTTTACTTCCCTACCTTCATCTTTATCACTGTTATTTTATTGGCTAGTTTAATTTTCCTCATTACTTTCTGAACACTCGTGAATGTACTAATTATGCTTTCTCATTTTGTCCTGATCACTACTATATATTTTTACTTCTAATATACCATATATCTACTATATATCATATCATATATCTACTTCTAACATGGGTTATATTCCTAACATACTTCTGATTAAAATATTATCTATCTATCATCCATCTCAATCTTTTTCATTAGACAAATAAATATATCATCTCTTATGTGCCAAGCACTGTTCTAGGCATTGGAAGCTGACAAGTAAACAAAATCTATGACTCTTGAAGCTTACATTCTGTAGCAGATAAGCAAATAAACAAACTAACATATACAATAATTTCAGGAGAATTTATCATTTCTATGAAGAAAGTGAAGCAAGTAAGTGAATAGCGTCAGGGGTAGGATGCTATTTTTAAATCGGGAGTCCAGAAGAAGCCATTTTAGAGGAAATCTGAATTCAACAAAAGAAGCATACAAAGATCCGGGGGAAGGACATTCCAGACAAAAAGAACAGCACATGAGAAGGGAAGCAGTTGGTATATTTGAGAAATGGCAAGAAAGTACCCATATCATGTAGGCCCTTGTAAACCATTGTTAGGGGTTGGATTTTACTCTGAAGAGAGATAGAAAGGCTCCAGGAGTTGGAACAGAGGAGTAAGATGTTCTAACTTCAGTTTTAGAAGGATTATTCTGGGAGTTACAGGAAAATACTCTAGGGGAGTCATGAGTGGAAGTAGGGAGACCAGTTTGGAGACTGCTGCAGTGGTCCAGACAAAAGATAACGATGGCTTAGACCAAGATGGTAACAGTAGTCATGGTGAGAGGTGGTCAGATTGGGAATATATTTAAAAATATTCTATGTTCTATGTCAGTCATTAAGTCTGAGTTGCCTATAAGAAATCCATGTTGAGATACCCAGTAAACAACTAGGTATATGAATACAGCCAGGGAAAAGGTCTGAATTAGGAATGTGTAGATAGCATTTTAAACTATGGAACTGGTTGATTTGGAGATTGAGAATGGACAGAGAAGACTGCCAAGAGCCCAGGGGTGCTTGAACATATAGTCTTGTGGAGAGTGAAAGGAGAAACCTGTAGGGTAAGAGAAGGCCAGGAGAAAGTGGTGTCCGCAAAGCTAAGTACAGAAAGTTCTCTTGAGAGGAAGAAATGATCAACTGGTCGAATGCCTGAATTGTCAAGGAAGGACATAGTAACTGACCAGTGGATTTGGCAAGATGGAAACTGTTAGTAATCTTGAAAGGAGAGCATTCACCGAAGCGGTGCGACTACTCACTGGAAGCAAGAAAGAAGTGATAACAAGTACAGAAAATCCTTTCAAAGACTTTTATTCTAGAAGGGAGCAGAAAAATGGGGAAAATGTTTAGAGAATCAGGTGATGTCAAAGGAAGTTACTTTGGGTTTTTATTTTTAAAGATGCGTGCTACACCAGGCTGTTTGTATGCTGATGAGAATGATGTGGTAGGAAAAGAGTATCTATGACGTGAAAGAGAAAGTGGATAGTACAACGGCAAAGACCTCAAGCTGCCGAGGCGGGATGAGATGCAAGGTACCATGGAGGGTTTAATTTTTGATAGGAGAAATGAAGTTTCATTCAGTGAAACAAGAGGGAGGGAAAGCAGTAGGTAACATAAATGAGAGTAAGCTAATAAAGCTTCTGGTTGAAAAGTGAAGTACTTCTATTTTCTCAGTTAAATAAGAAGTAGGGCCACCAACAGAAAATGAAGAAAAAGTAAGTGGTATATAAGATTTGAAGAGATTGGAGAAGGTATGAAATGGTTCTATTAGAGAGTTGCAGGCGAAAGTAACTAAATAAACAGGAATGCTGGGCACTGCTGATAGCCCTTGTGGTAGGTAGGCTATGAGACCGCCCCCAGTGATCCTCACCATTCAATAGTCACCCTCTTGTGTAATCCTCTCCCCTTGAATGTGGGCTGGACTTATTGACTCACTTTTACTCTTTTTATTCTCCAAAGAGAATATGGGAGAAGTGATGAAATGCTGCTTCTGAGTTTAGGTTATAAAAAGACTGTGGCTTTCATCTTGGGCACTTGCTGTCTCTTGGGTTGTTTACGCTAGGGGAAGTCAGCTCCCATGTCTTGAGGCAGCCCTGTGGAGTAGCTCTGGCCTTAAGGAAACAAGTCCTGCCAATAGCCACATGAGTGACCTTAAATAGATTCCCATTCCCCTCACTCTCACCCCCGACAAATCTTCAAGATGAGACCACAGCCCTGGCCAACAACTTGACTGCAACCTCATGAGAAACCTTGAACCAGAGGCATCCTGCTAGGCTGTGCACAGATAACTCATCCATGGAAACTGTGAGATAATTTTTGTTGTTTTCAGTTGCTAAGTTATGGGGGTAATTTGTTATGCATCGATAGATTACTAATAAAGCCTTCTTGAAATCTGTGGTCATAAATTTAAAAGATAGTGAGTGCAGTTACAAATGTAAAGGAAGATAGTCGGCAGAGGGACATGTTTTTTCTATTCACATTCTGATGCACAGAAAATGGTGTGCAAGGATACCAAGCAAAACCAGACACAGGCTACCCCTAGAGGAGAAGCGGGAAGAATGGGGAAAAGGAGGAGAGGAATGAAGATGCATTTTCAGCTTTGATCTATATATTTCTGTATGATTTGAGTTACTTATAATCTGCTTATATTCATTCATTATGTGTGTAACTTAAAAAACAATCTTAACAAAAAAGTAGTATGAAAGACTTCTTCCTCATAATATACTATAGAACACAGGCAAAATGGTTTATCAGAGAAGAGCGAATGCACACTGTCCCATCTGCCTCTTGGACTGCAGTCTGTTCCTGGCATTCTCTACAGGGCTGGAAGTATTCACTCTGGAACCTTCACAAGTGCAAGGTAAAGCCCTCAGACTACAGTTAAGTGGTTATTTGCAAAGGCCAGGTTTTAGCCCGTGGGAAGGCAACAGCATTCCCATTCGCATGTAAAAGTCCAGATGAATCCTCTGCTTGAGGTCCAGAGCTCTGCAGTTGCTGGCAAAGCATGCTGGGAGCCTTGGCATCTATCACCAACTCTGTTTCACTTTTCTCTGTGTGAAAACCTTTTGAGGCCCAAGGATAAAAGACGTCTTATCATTTGGGTGTCAAGTACTGTTAAGTTAGATTCTCCAAGGCGTTCACTGACTGTGTCATTTTAGCCGCATCATTCTCTCAGGCTGTTCCTCCATGAAGGTGTAAATACAAATGGAGAAAATAATGGTTTCTTGAGGTTTGTTTTGTTTTCCATCCCTGTGCCAAACTTCTGATGGCAAATCCTTTTAGCGCAGGTGGTTTCCCTGGCAATTGTTCACCGGGCCTGGCTTACTCTGCCTCTTTTTTAAAAATTGTGCCTCTTAATAGAAGGTATAGAGGAGCAGAGTTGTTTGTCAATTCACTGAAAATAATTCAAAATTAATCGTAAATAATTGAATATAATATAATTGAATTTTCCACTCCTATTTGATTGAAATCTTCCTTGAAGCAGGGACCATATCTTCCGAATGCAACATTCAGCATTCACTAAACATCTCTTCGTTTGCCAGGCAAGTGATACATTAGAAATAGCCCAGAGTATCAGGGATTGTACATATTACCCTGGGCCATATCATCATCATATTTCTTCTGTCCCCATTTTCCTTCTATCCTGTCTTACTCTGTTTTTCTCTAGTCATTTTGAGGTCAGATTTTTTCATGCTACTATGGGTTTATTGACTCTAAAACACACTTTAACATTTGCAAGTATCCATAGAGAATTGGTTTAGTGTCACAATTTTTAATTATCTAAAAATAATTAATAATCATAATTAGCATGCAAAAGTTAGATTTTAACGTTTCCAATCACTGTTGTATAAACACACGGCAAAAATCACCAATAACTTAAACATTAGATCAACGTCTACTGGCTACATCATACCGTATATTCCTCTAGCTCAAGAGGAGTTCTTAAACCCCAGGTCTCCTTCTACTGACCTTCACACGATTCTCCACTTGATGAAAACATCCCATTGTCATGGTAGCCATCTCTGCACTCACAGTGGTACCATCCAGGCAGGTTAATGCAGTTAGCACGGCTGTCACATTGAACAAAGCCATCAGAGCACTCATCAATGTCTGTTTGGCAAAGCAAACAAAAACGGGATGTTATGCAATTGCTGCTTTTCTTTCAAAGAAACTAAAATATTCTGTCGGGTGACTACTAAAACTTTTAGTGCCAGCAAATCCTTAAAACTAAGAAAATATAAAATCAAGAAAGTCTACTTGGTTGTTGAAAGCTATACGGAAAGAATGTAGCAGTATTAGTAAAAGGAGAAATGTCTAGATGGCTTCTCTGTTGCAAAGGTCATCCAACTGTAGAAAATGGAAAGAAACCATCTGTAATAGTCATTAGTGCTGCCCACCAAATATTTCCAGTTCTTCTTCCGGACACAAGCTAGGATTGCCACGAGACATCCTAAAGCCAGTTAGGGAGTGATTATCTGTGTTACTTAAAGGCAGAGTTTTTAAGATGCATTGTGTGATTCACATGTACACTTCCCCCATCACAACGACCAGCAATTTCCAGAGGCTCTAAACATCAGCCTGAGTTCCTGAGTGAGGATGATGTGGGGCACATTCCTCCTTTACTTGCGATGGACATATATTATGAGCAAGAAATCAACCTTTGTTGCTTTAAGTCACTGAGATTTTAGGGTATTTTATTACTTTCAGTATAACCTATTCAACTTGACGAATATATCATTCAATAGCATCCATGCAATAACATGCATCATATTTTTGAGAATATATACCATTTATGTCACTTTTTAATGGGTTTCACATATATTACCTTATTCATCCCTCAAAAGAGAAATCTTGCCATGTAGATAGCATATTGAACATATGAAAAAAATGAGGCAAAAGGAAATTATGGGATTTAACCAAGATCTGCTCCTTCATACAAGTAGGCATGGGCTGAAATTGGTAAATTGTCTAAACAAAGAGAGCTATACATCTTGAGTTTCATACATTGTCTCCAGAGGGTTATTGTTACTCCCCAACATTGTGACCCCTTTATTCTCCTTGTTCAGTCTTTTGAACGATGGGAACATACAACCCCAGCCAAGTCTCTTCCTTTGCTCCTAGAGGGACAAGTAATTCCTGGAGTTGCTTTACAAAGTGTCCCCTTCTTCTCATATACCTTCTGGGTTTCTGGGTGCCCTGGAGATGACTCAGATGCTGCTAAATGAGCTGATGGCATCGCACCATTGTAGCTGACAAAAAATATCTACATGCATCCCACTCCCATCTTGACAGCCCCATGCCATGACTGAAGACTCCACTTGCCATGGCAGTATAGTTCTTTCTTCTATGCCTCTGACGCCTGCATCATATTCCCTGCTGCAGTGACCAGGCACAGTGATGTCCCTCATGTTGAAGGTAAGGCCAGCTGCTTTTCAGAGTCCTTTACCCCCAGCCAGTCCACTCCAGTTCAGCAGACTCTCCTTTCTTCCTATTTCAGTCTCATCTAACTCTAAATTCTTGGAAGTATATATTTCTTTTGTTTTCTTTTTAAATTCCCTCTTTCCATATGTTCAATTTTGAGTGACAAATTTTTGAATAAATAATTTTTTTTTAAAAGAGAGAAATAAGGCACTCTTGATAAACCCAGAGTTCCTTCACTAAAACAAGGTACAAATCATTTTCTTAGATTAGGTAACAGGCCAGAAAATACATATTTTATATCACTGCAAAATTTTGACATTATTTTTGAACTACGAATGGTTTTGCCTCTGTGGTTCCTCCTCCGAAGAGTCCGTTCCTATTGTCAGGAATTGTTACTGTCAAAATAATTATTAGTGGCCAAATCAGCTAACCGTTGACTTTCTGACACATAGCTGATGTGGACTGCTTCCATTTACTAAAGGTCTCATACGTTTTATGGAACAGCCTATTTGTATTTCAGGGGCCTCCCTAACTGATGAACCTCCGATTATAAATGGGACTAAAATGCTATGCTCATTTCAGCTTTATGCAGTCTTTTCTTCTAAAGCAAATGATGCAGAAAATTGATTATGTCATTTCTTAAGTGCATGAACAAAAGAAAGCAGGTTGGAATTTAGCTTTAGAAGTGAGTTTATTGGAAGAAGGCCATGAGGGGGATGTTTAGAGTATCGCATTTTAGAAGAGTTTGATCATCGTCATTGGTGACTTGGAATAACTATTAATGGAACAGAGCCTTCTCCACTGAAGCAACTTTCACATCTACATTTAGCCTTTAAGTTAGCCCTTTTTTCTTGCCTGATCACAGCTGTAGGGTGAGCTCAGATCCTGTGACATAGAGATTTCAGTTCTCATTTCTTACTTCTTTTCTCTTGTCACTCTTTCTAATCACCAGGCCCACTCTTCTACTGCCTTGTCCCCTCTTCTCTTTATTTACATTACAGCAACCTTCCTTGATCTGTAAACATACTCATTAAAGTTTCACAGAAATGCTATACTCTATATTACTTAGTGTTGTGAAGACCAGGGATACGAACATACGCTGGCCATAATGTATTTTCATATACAGTTTGAACAATATTTTATTATTTCATTACTACTGCTAAGCAGTATTTTAGAGGATGGACATGCAAATATATGAACCAGTTATTAATTTACCATTCAATATTTACTGAATACCTGTTATGTTCCAAGTACAAAGTGCTGGGGAAACGAGTAATTGCTTCCCTCACTGGGTTTACTATGTATCTAAATCGTGTTTTAAGAAAATTAAATTTGTGAAAATCTAAATTTACAATCATATAGGACAGTGTTTTCCAACATGTTGTACATATGCCACCATTGGTATACTATTTAGGTGATAATAGGCAAATACTTCATTTTAATGCTTACATATTTATATTTCTGAATCATTTCCATTTAGAGCAAGTGATACTAATAGTACAGTAGTGAAATCATATTTAAATTTTAGAAATGAGAGGTATCACAGAAAGAATATTAAGTAAATATTGATATAAATGAGATATGACTATGATAAAAATTATGAAGGTGGTATACAAATGACTGAAGTTTTGAAAACACCAAGATACGGTATGGAGCAATTATTCACATTTCAGAAGCATTTGCTGAGTAATTTCTTAAGGTAAAATGCCTTAATTCATTTGAAATATGACTCGATGTATAAAATATGTAAGTATACAAATGTCATGGCTCAAATTATATACTTGCTACCATTTAGGATAGCGAAGAAGAACTAGCCAGGTAATATACATTGCTTCCTTTTACACTTTCATATTCCTGTCAGTTTAGATTTTTTTATGCAAACTTCCCTACTTTGGTGAAAGGAGAAAATGAAAGTGTACTTGAATTGCCAAGGTATGTGCTTCCCACCAAAAGGCATGCTTGTTTGGCTCATGGCTCCGACTGAAGCCAAAGCTAAAACAACCTCATCTGTAAGCTATTTGATGGTATCTATGTCCTTATCAGTAAATATTTAGTAAGTGAAGAACTGAAATATGATCCACAATTTAAAAATTAAGTATACTTTATCTATACATAACTGTAGGTATTACTATGAGCTATAAGATATAAATGCACACATATTGTGCACATTTTCAAATACGCACATACTGTGCTTTACATATGGTGAAATAGCAGAAACCAGTAAGAAAGAGAGTGAAAGAATTTATTTCTTGGGTACTTTTTTTAGGTCAGTTAAAACCAAACTTCACATTATCTAACTGAGTGAGATACACAGAGAACCCCAGACCGAGGGGAGAAAAATGTTATTTTATTCCACATGAGAAATACCAAGTTTGAACAAATTACTTTCCAAACGGAATAAAAGTACTCAAAAAGTTTAGCACAAGATGTATAGGCTGATATGATTTAGTCTTGATTATAAGGACTTTAATTTTGTACCCTGTAGGTATGTTATACAGAAAACTAAGAATAAATTTTATGAAAAACTATGATTTCATTACATATTCTGTCTTCGAAAAGAACTGGTCCCTAGTTCCTTAGGGACAATTAGAACTTTTTCAATAGCTACATTTAGAACAGTCAGCTAGCGATGATATTAAGATGCTGTCCCAAAGCACAGAGAATGTAAGATCCAAAAGAGATTTAGCCATCCAACAACAGTCACGAAGAGCAGCCAGACTCCAGGGATCAAACTCGACTTAGATAATAAAAGTGGAAGGCACTGTTGAGATTTTTCTAGAAAGCACATATATTTTGAGGCAATCATTAAAAACAAGCCAACAAGCAGAAAAGCAAGAAAGGAAAATGTATGAATAAAAAAAGCTCACACACGTCAGTGTCTTGTTTTCTTTGTCTCCCTCAGGTGGGGTGACACAACACTGGGTGCTTTCTACAATGTCACAGGCCACTGGCTGCAGAGGTAGCCGACTGAAGACGGCCTTTGCTAACAGCATTTAAAGGGTCACTTTAGGAAAATGACAAATTACTTCCTTGTAAAATTAAATGTAGTTATAAAATGAGACATCTGAGTGATAAACAACCTTTCTCATGCATAGTACCAGCTATTTCTATCATAACAACCTAACTACGAACAATAAAAAACATGCAAATGTCTAAAACCATCCATATCTAAAATAGACCCTACTCATTAGTTTAACCTGCTCCCTTTTAAGCTACTCTACACAAAAGAAAAGAAAATCCAATTATTTTTTAAACTGAGCACACTATTTTTAATGCTGTAGTCAAATAATGAGAGTACTGTCTCTCATACTGTTTAGCATTAATAAAAACCTTAGACTATTTATATCACTATCCTATGCACTGGTAGTTAAATTATATTGATAAACAGCAGGCAATTAAACATCTTCAAAACAATTAATCAACTCTTGATTACCCACATGTGGATTATTTGCTTTCTAGATTATCTGCAGCACTTTTTAATTTTAATCACAAGGTCACTTCCCTCTGTCTTTTGCTGAGCTTCTGGGGAGTCTGCTTTCAACACTCAGATGTGAGTGCTTCAAGGAATGCAAACTCATTTGAGCATTATACTGTTTGTAATAACTATACCAGATTTGGATCTAAAATACTGCCCAAAATTTCATAAGATGGCTGATTCTCACATGAACTTTTTAAAAATAAAATATGACAACATACGTAAGTAAATTTTGAAAATCATAAAATCCTCTTTACAGGTTGGGTGATAATATTGCAGATTTAGTGAAAATTATTTTCATCACTTTATAGTTCATAATTAGGAAGGTAATGACTGCTCCTAAAAGAGTATAACATAATTTCATCATCATCTCGTTCAGCCCTCATAATCACCGCGTGAGATAGTCCTATCCCTATGTCATAGACTGTGGCCTGGTGGTTAATATTTGGCGCTCTCTCCACCATGGCCTGGGTTCATTTCCTGGTCAGGGAACCACACCTCCCATCTGTTGACTGTCACACTGTGGCGGCTGTGTGTTTGCGATGCTGAAAGCTATCCACTGGTATTTCAAACACCAGCAGGGTCACCCATGGCGGACAGGTTTCAGTGGAGCTTCCAGACTAAGACAGACTAGGAAGAAGGACCTGGCCACTCACTTCCAAAAAAAATTGGTCACGAAAACCCTAGGAATAGCAGTGGAGCATTGCCTAATACAGTGTCAGAAGAAGAGAGGATGGTGCAAAAAAAAAAAAAAAAAAAATGGATGGGGTTCCGCTCTGCGGCGCACAGGGTCGCTAGGAGTCAGAACCGACTGGAAGGCACTAACAACAAATGTCATAGATGAAGAAGTGGTGAGAGCAAATATATTGCCCTAGGTCACACAATAGACCAGAACTCTTTTAACTCCAACTCCAGTGCTCTTTCTCCTACTCTAAGGCTGCCTCTCAAGACCAACACTTGGCCAACCAGAAACAGCTTGTACTTTGATCTATCGAAGTGTGTATCTTAATGAGTGAATTCCAGCTCTTTGGCTTGTTAACTGTGTAACTTGGAATATTTTATTACACCTCTCTGAGTTTTGAACTAGAAATAATTCTCTCTGTTATCAGCCTGCTGTTAACTACTGCTGTTAACTATACAAGGCTCATAGGAGAAGTGGTACCTGGCTCATAATAGGCATTTAATATGTGTAAGTTCCACCTCTCTGAAATAATCTTTCAGAGTTTACAAAGTATGTTCACTTATGTCATTTGATTACTTGAAAGGGAGCAGAAGGAAATACAGTTTTACAAGTAGGGTTTAAGCCACAGAATGTCTTCTCTTTTGTGGACAATCAGGAGCCGCTGCACGATTACTAACAGTAGAGTGATATAATCTAAGATTTATAATCTAAGAGTGATGTAATCTAGACTTCAGGAAGAAGAGGGCAGCATCTACATGTTGGACAGATGGGACTGGGCAAGACTAGAGGCAGTCTTATGAGGCTGCTTTTCATTATCTAGGAAAAAGGTAATAAAGATTTTAATTAGGGGGAAAACAGTGGAAATAGGGATAAAGAGTATATTTTTCTCAAATGCTTATCTTCAGTCAATGTACAAGGCCTTCTCATGTCCCTGTGTTGATGTCAGACCAGCCAAGTTCACAATCCACACGTCTGGGGACATATCATACAGAGAAAAAAAATCGAGACAACCTGATGTTTCTTGTGGTTCCTGGAGTCTTTTTATTTTATCCTTTCTTTTTTTTTCTTTAGAGTCTTTGCATATGCTGTACCTATTGCCTAGAAAGTTCTCTCTTTCTCATCCCCTCACCCAGTTAGTTAAGTATTTCTCATCTGTGTTTCATATAAAAATTAATTTCCTCAGGGAAGGCTTCCTTGACTCCAAAGGCCATGTTAGACCTCCTAGTGTTCATTGTTTTCTTGTACTTTCCCCAACGTGGTCCTTGTATTTTGCCTTAATAGCAACTATCACAAGTTGTTGTGATTTTTTGTCTAAGCTTGTAAATATTACAGTAACTTAATGAGAATAACCAGTTCTGGAGAAAGCCTTCCCTATATTTTTCCTCCTTTTCAAAAGCACCTTGATTCTTTGAGCTTTTTGTCTACCAGTTTGCAAATTTCTCACTAAAACACAACAAAACATGGGGGAGGAGAAAGTCTGCATTGATGCCATAGATTAATTTTTGGAGAAGTGACATCTTTACATTATTGAATATTTAATCCATACACATGATATATTTCCTCTTCCTCTAATAATTTTTGTAGTTTTTATAGTCTTTGCAGTTATCTGAAAAGATGTCTTGTGCGTATTTTGTCTGGATTTACTCCTAACTTTTTTTTTTACTTTTTTTTTTAAAAAAACAACTTTATTTTTTTTCCAGCTTTCCTGAGGTATAATTGGCAACTAAAATTGTAAGATCTTTAAAGTGTACAACATGATGATTTGATATATGCACACATTGTGAAAGGATTCCTTCCTTGAGTTAATTAACACATTCATCACCTCACATATTTCTTTTTTGTTCTTTTCTGGTGAGAACATTTAAGTTCTACTCTCTTAGCTAATTTCAATTATACAATACAGTGCTATAAACTATACTCACCATGTTATACATTAGATCCTCGGACCTCAAACCAACTTTCCTGAGGTAAAATTTATATGTAAAACAATCACTAATAATTTCATGAGCTTGGACATGTGACCACTACCATAATTAAGATATAAAAGATTTCCTTTAC